ACGCTCCTTTCACAGACTGTTACCACGGAAAACGTCATGTAATTGCCAGCGTTCAGATGGGCTCTCTCAGCACTATTTTTTAGAAACTGCATGTGAAACCTAAAATCATTCAAAAAGAGTGTAATTTAAATAAAGCAGTCAGTGGGAACCCGATGGATCAGCTAAAGGTAACCACTAAGCTGAGGACCACTAATGGGCAAAGCAGTCCAGTGTCACCAGGTGGCTGCCAGTAGATGCTGCAAGGACACAAATGAACCAACATGAGCAAAAGGAGCTGTGTGGCAGAAACAGACGGCAAGGTCAGGAGCTTGTCCTTGTTGCTGCTGGTCGCCTTCAGTGACGTCTGTGAGAAAGACAAGTGTGCAGAAGGGAGCTCCCCAGTTCCCGAGCAGACACTGAAGGTGCAGCGTCCAGGTTCTTCAGACCTTGGGCCCCGAAGAGCAACAGAAACCATAGAAACTGCTGTGACAACCCGGGGACCTCCGCCCTCACAGCTCTGCGGCAGAACTGCTGTCCTCTCACCCTGGGAACGTCCTCCAGGGACAGCAGAGGAGAGCCACTCCTGCCGCAGCGGGAATCGAATCTCACCTGCTTATCACTTCATGCACCCAAGGACACGGGCTCGACAAACTGTCCAGCTAACATGGCGGAGGCGGGAAAAGCGAGCATGTGACTTGAGAAGAATGAGACTGAGGCCATAGAGATGCGCAACGGATCTGAAAACTGAGTCCCGAACAGGGTCCCTGGGTGGTTTCTGGCTCATGCTGCGATTGGATCGTCAGACAAAAGCCCTGATATGTTCCGGAAACTCAAATCTGATCAGAACAAAACGAATAGCAACCCACAAGCCTTCCCAGAGTCTGTGCGAGGGCCTCCTCCGCCGAGGACTGGGAGCTGCATGCCTGTGGGGACAACAAGTGTCCTGTGTCTCACTTGGACCTGGCCCAAGGGGAAGATGGAGACAGGGAGAGGGTGGAACCTGGCAGAGCCTGAAGCTAGAGGCCACAGAAAACAATGCAACAGGTCAATTCCTCCCCAAAAGTGGAACCCTCTAGAACAAGGGCCACCTGCAGAGCCTTGGCTAAGTGGCCTTCGGCTGGCTGTCCAGGGAGCCTCTGGAACATCACAGGTGTTGTGACATCACAGTGTCCCATTCTTTCCTTCTCTGACACTCCTCTGTGGCGCAGGGAGCAGACAAGACACCTCCCGCGTCAGGGCCGCGGAGGGGAAGCCACTCAGCCCTAGGGTGGCCTCGCTGAGCCGAGCCGGAGGTGGCGGCTAGATGGGGTCTCTGGATTCTCCTCCACGCAGTAGAGGAGCGTGTTCGTGGGGAACATTTGCTGTACTGGGGGCTGAAGGACAAGGGGGACTTCCGGCACCCTCCATGCCTGGTTCTCCTCCTCTTCCAGGCACGAGTGGACTGTTCTTCACTGTTCTGCTTCAGTCAGGTGAGGCCACATGCTCAGTTCTGGACAATGGGCTGAGGGCAAGTGACGTGTATCACTTGCCAGTCAAGTGTCCCCTTCCCTAGCTGTGCTCTTGGGGAAATGGTCTTGGGTTAAGATTGTAGCAAGCAGAAGGCTCCTGAGCTGCGTGAGGAAACCGACCTGGAGAGCTGCCCTGCATGACAAGTGGGGACTCTGATGTTGGGTGCCAGATGTTGAGATTTGGGTGCTTCTTTGAGCCTTCACAATTATCATCATGGCTAATGCAGTCCCCGAGCCCAAGCGGTAGCCCAGGATTGGACCAACACGCTGTGAGTTGGCAGGAGAGCCAAGGGTGCCACGATGCTCAGTCCTCGGGCCAGGAGAGGCCCACAGACTCCTCCTGCTCTCCTAGACAACCACCTTGACACAGGAAAGCCACCTCCCAGAGCAATGGTGGGCTTCCCTGACCACAATCTATCACCCTCATCCACTGCTCTCCTTTATAAAACATCCAGCGGCACACAGACCATGGCCTCCTCTGGCTCTGGCCCCAGACACTGCCACTTGGGAATCAGAGGTTCCCAAGACTGTGGGCTGCATCAGCTGCATCCTGACTGGCCTCCACCCACCCTGACTCCTGGACAAGAGCTGTGCGAGTGGGCTGCTGTGCCTGGTTCCTTAATGGGGTCATGAGAAGGAAATGAGTTTACACCTAAGAAAATGTGTGCTACGCCGTGGGCACCTCGCTCGTCTACGTCTTTCTTTTAAAGGCTCGGGAGTGCAGTGTTTCAGGGAGGCTGGCCAAGGGATGGCTGGAGCCTGGAGTCTGCAGGACTGGCAAGGCGGTGATTACTGCCATGTGGCCTTGGAGCCCTGCCTGGCCCCGGTGACAAGATCATAAAAGCTGACCTCCTGGCTCCTGCTTGGATGAGCTGATGGTCACAGTGCACATAACAGTGCCAATGGAAGCCTGGCGGGGCCAGCTCTCCAGCCTGCCTTCATTGCCTGTGGGGCATCCTCAGGGCAGCCTGGTCCCCTGCCAGGGCTCATCCACACGTCCTTCAGACCACATCTCAAGCACCAGCCTCAGAGTGCGTCAGGCCTGGTGTCGGCCAGGCCCTGGGCAGCTCCAACCCAATGAAGGCCTTCCGCGGAGTTCCAGTGAGGCCCGGAGCTGCGCGGGCAGATTATCTCAAAGACTGCTCATGGCTTTTGAGAGCTTGCAAGGTTGAGTGATGAACAGGCACGACTAAGGAAAGTCCAACTGCAGTCCTGGTAAGGGACATGGGAGAACCAAAGCAAACAAGAAAACCAGCAGGCAGTCTCGGCTTCAGGGGGGACGCTGAGTGCGTCTCCTAATTAACCCTCCTTACCAGTCACCGCCACCAGCTTTCAGAAAACACTCCTAAAATGACCCTGACGTCTAGCGTGCGTGAGGATGGCCTGGAGGGCCTGCTGGCCCCAGTCTCTGCGCCTGGCAGGTCTGGGAGGAGCACAAGTGCTGTGGTGACACTGCTGTTGGCTGCTGAGGTCCAGAGCCATCGCGGTCCCAGCTGTCAGCATTTCCTCAGCCCAGTGCTGTGACTGAGGACGCGTGGGAGCCTCTGCTCTGCCTCATGGGCAAGGAGCGGAATGAGAAAGCCACCCTGTGGTCCCAAACATGAGGCTCCAGGCTGAGGGGCAGGCACAGGGGTGGGATGGTACGGGGAGCACGCCCAGGACAGTGGCCTCCAGGAGCAGTGCAGATGCTGACAAGAACTCAGCTCCCCACGCGGCTGACTCCGCCCTCCCTGATGAGCTCCCACCCCACCTGAGGACGAGGTGGCCTGGGCCCGGATGCTACACTCTGTTATCTTTTAAGCTTTCTCTGTGCTGCCAGGGGCTCCGCAGAAGCCAGTGGGTTTCCACCCACAGGGAGAGAAGCCTAACTGGCTTGAGTCGGTGATGACCGCTCATTTCTTGTTTAGGGATGGGGACAGCAAGGGCATTTAAGGGGCAAAATATTTTTGGCAGCCGAGCCTGCCTCGAGGAGGCATCATTCTATTTATCTCTGACCACATGATACAACTAACCCAACACCCGAAGCATGAGGGCCCACAGACCTGGCTGGCGACCAGTTGCAGGAGGCAGAGGCTGGCTTTCTTGTCCCTTCCCTTTCTGGGGCTGTCTTGACCAGCCTTGACACTGCCAACTTGAGTATGTATGTCCAGGAAAAATGGGCACCTTTTCTGCTTTTGATTTGGCTCAGCTAAGAGCCCAGGACGCCTCGACTTCAGTCTTCCGTCCCAACAGATGTGGCAGGTCGTCTATGGTTACTTCCTTAATCTGATAACATTCTGCCACATTTTTTTTCCAAAGGGAATAAACAGCCTAGGCGACTCCTGGTGCATATGACACAGTGATTAAACAACAACAAATAGGTAGCTCGCAATATCCTTCAACGTTCTGTGAAAACGAGGGCACTTCTCACCCCCTGGCCTAGCCTTCCTTGGTAAAGGAAAACGCAGAGCAAGAGACCTAAGACAGACCAAGAATGCCCGAGACATACAAAATGCCAGCTGAGCAGCAGAGGCCGGCCAACAGAAGCTTCTGTGTGCTCCCTGGCTTGCTGAGCTCAGCGCAGGACAGGCAGGATGCCGGAGGCCCATCTCAGAGCTGCTGTGCAGACATCTCCCTCATGGGGAAGCCTCATGGACCCACAAACTGGCTATTCCACATTTACCGATCAGGACAACAGAGGGGACCGAGGACCCCTTCTCTGGGCATCAGGGCTGTTGATTCAACTTTGACTGTTGAATCCTGTGACTGAAAAGGCCAGTGACCTGCTTGCGTGGGAAACGGAATGGCACACACTGGGAGCGGGAAACAGACTGTACTTCAAACGTTACCACCTGCCCTGCCATGGGGGTGCTTGCTTAAAAAGGAGGGAAGTTGCCGTGAGACACCTGGCTGCACTCCTGGCAGGACAGTCCTGAGTTAGGGGCACTTATGGTAAAGGTGAAAGTGGAATATTCATTTTAACATAGAACCAACTGAATTGGCTAAAACTTATCAGTGAGGGCTGGGGTGCGGCTCCGTGGCCGAGCGTGCCCTTGGCATGCTCAGGGGCTGGTCTGATCGCAGTGTGTGCCTGCACAAGGTTAGCAACATCTAGCAACAGACTCAACCAAGAACCAAGGACTCTTTGAAGAAATCTTTGATTCCAGCTAAGATTTGCTACAGTGTGTCCCAAACCCTGAAGCATCAGTGTCACCTGGGAGGCTGCGAGAAGCACAGACTTGGGTTCCTGTCCAGAATTTCTGAAACATAACAAGCATGTTCCCAAGATACCCAAGTGACACTTCTGCACACCTGAGCCCAAGAATCCCTGCCATAATGTACTGCCCTCAGCTAATGACCAGGGTCAGCAATGGTCCAGGGAGGACACTACCTGCCCTGACCTACTGGACGTCCCAACCTCACTGCCAGAGCTGCTCCAAGGTACAGCCACTGAGCCTCTGCTGCCTTAAAGCCTCAGTCACGCACAGAGGCGGCCCTCCACAGACTGGCGTCCATCACTCAGTTGAGGCTACAGACCAGAGTATCAAATGATTTTATTACAAAACTTAACGCCATTTACTGATAATTTACTTTTCTAAAAAACAAACGCATCCAAGGCTCACCAGCCTTGGAGGACAGGAAGCAGCCCTGCACAGGAAACCTGCAAACATTTTTCTTATGCCTGATGTCTCGGCCTCCTTGTTCACTCTAAGCTTCCACCTTCTGTTACCTCTGACATGGGGAGGAAACTGGCTAGAAGAGTCACAGACAAGAAGGTCACAACCAACTTTAAGGCTATCTGATGCTAAGGGTTTGTACACATAGTCTGGAACTTTGAGAAAGGTATTGGACGAGCGCTGTCAGATGCCTACGCCCCACTAAGCTTTACAGTCCCTATTCTCTGAGTTACCTCTGGGACTGGTTAGGATCTTCCGTGGTAGCCTCTAGTCATCCCAGAGCACAAACCCTAAAGTCCATGTGCAGTCTCCTTGTTCAAGTATAAAGCTGTCTGGGAACCATCCCAGCGGCTGTAGTGTTCATACTCTGTAGTGTGTACTGGGTGCCACACCCCTGGACAAACAGGCCAGTGGCAGCCCAAGGAAGGGGCACCCACAGACAGAGTTCCCACTGCCAAGCTTGCTCCTGTCCTATCTGGACACTGCCCCACAGTCAGGGTAGAAATCTTGAGTTCAGAAGCCCCCAGCCGGATGAAGTCATGCTCTCTCGGAACAGGGATCCATTTCTTCACCATTAATTAAATGGAGTTTTCAAAAGGTGCCAGGAATATTCTAGAAGGAAAAGATAATATCAAAATTCTACCCTTTGATAAGAATATATTCACTTAATTTTGTGTTTCTAAAGGAATTTACAATTGAACTTGAAAGACTTAAAATGAATGCTTTACACTTGGTGAAGTACAGAGACAGTGCCACCCGGGGGATGTCCTGCTGGCCGGCCCTTCACTCAGGCATCATTTGGTCACCGTGATCTAATGGCCCCAGTCAGTGTGCCCACTTACCTGACCTATTAATAACAACAGACACCTTCAAGAATCTTGGCAAGAGAACACCAATGGCAGAATGAGAAGATATACCCTAAAAGTCCACCGTTCGTATTTACTAATGTCTCTCCAAACCTGCAAAAACATCCATTTGTGCATCTCCAGCGGATTTTTGAAATGAAGTGTAATTCCAGACTTAATATGAGAGGGACAGGACTTAATACACGTAACTATGGTGGAGGTACTGTGGACTCGGGGAACTAGTGTCCAGGAGGCTGGTCTAAGCAACCTCAGCAGACCCTTGCCCGACTCTCCCTGCGCACACCAGCCATCCCAGCCCATTTCTAAAGAAGTGTCTATTTGTAGCTTAAACGCTTAGCTCTGGTAGCACAGAAAATCACATACCTGTCGACACAGGAAGGTGCTACCAACCAGTCTGCATTGAAAGATGACCCCTTGCAGGAGGTGAGGCCCACCCGCAAGAGCCCTCTTCTGAGTACACCTGGAGTCTGATCCCATCACAGCCTGTCCCTTTTCTATCCATTTTCTATACCTACAAGCTGGGGGGTGCCTGCTCCTGGGCTTCATGGCATACGGACCTTAGGAAGTATCCTGGGACGGGGCAGGCAGGTCCTGGCTCTCTGGGTCAGGAGGAGGTGCTGGCACAGCTTCTTTTTTCTGGGCCGCCAGGAATTCATGAATCGCTCGTTCAATCTGTGGCCTGAAGATGTGGTTGAGTTTTGGATCCACCACCTGAGAAATAATCCTGTCTACTCCTGCTTCCAGCATTCCTGACCTTATGGAGACAAAACAGAACACTCTGTTATTTAGTTCCTTTGAGTCACCTTTAGGCCCAGCAAGCCCCAAGTGTCACCTGAGAGCCTAGTAAAGGTCGACCTGAGTCTTTCCGGAGATTTCTCTCACAGGGCGAGCCATCCACCCTATGCCAATTTTGGGGCACAGACATCCACTTTTGAGGGGCAATTCACCACCAGCAGCTCCCTAACATTCCTGGTTCACAGTTTCACCCACAACTACTTCACCCTGCACAGAGGAACCAAGCAGAACCAACCAGACTGCCCAAAGAGCAAGTGACAACAGGGAAGAGAGAACTGGACTTATGCAGGTTGAAATCCTGAATCATAGCCAGGCACGATGGCACACAATTTTAACCCACCTAGGTGGCTGAGGTGGGAGGACCCAAGTTCAAGGTCAGCCTGGGCAATCTAGTCAGACCCTGTCTCAAAAAGAGCTGGGATGGGGCTCAGAGGTGGAGCACTTACGTGGCATATGTGAGGCCATGGGTTCAATCCTCAGCATCGCAAAACAGAAGAAAGAAAGAAAGAAAGAAACCTTAACTGAACTGTCAGAGCCAGCTGGCCTTGGAGTTGACTGCACTTCCTCCAAACTTGCTCTCTTAACAGCCAAAGCAGAGGCAGCCCCTGCAGCAATGCTGCACGTGACCTCAAAGCTAAGCCACACTAACCAGTTGGGACCACAGTGTCTATGACACCAGCAACTGCCCACAGCCTTCCGCCAGGCTGCTAGGTCCAGGTAGCAACAGGCAATGGGAGGCAAGCGGCCTTCCGCTCCTGTGGGCCCCCCTTCGGGAGTACTTCGACACTTAGGCAGAGCCCACCACACTGTCCTCAGAGGCCGAGGCTGGAGCAGGGAAGTGAGGAAGACTGCGGTGACGGAAGCAAGCTGCTTCTGAGGAGTGCAAGCAGTCCCCAAGGCCCTCAACCTAGGCCCCTTCCCAGAGGATGAAGCACTCACCCCTGTAAAGGCGGGTGGCAGGGCTTACTCATCTCCTTTAGATGGGTCTTGGGCATTTGAGCTTTCCCTTGGGTGGACACAATTCCACAGTTATTGGGCAAACAGATGGCCGGACACAGAGCGAGACAAATCAAGGTGTGACAAGAGCCGGAAGCCAGGCCCCAAGCGAGGAGGACTGCTCATGAAGAAGGGCTTCCCAGACTCCACGGTGACAATGCTTACTGACAGAAGCCTGTTAAGGTCTATAAACAAGTCAAGATGGCGCCTGGCTTATGACAGCCTATTATGGACCAAATGTCTGTGCCCCAAAATTGGCATGTTGAGACCTCAGCCCCAATGTCACAGTATTCAGAGTTGGGGCCTTTGGACGGTGATCAGATCATGAAGGGGAGCCCTCATGAATGGGATCCGTGCTCTCAGGAAAGGGACCCCAGAAGGCCAGCCAGCCCTCTCTGCGCCATGAGAGGACATACTGATATGCTGGCAGCCTGAAGCCAGAGGACATTCCTCAGCAGAACCCAGCCATGCTGGCATCTCTCAGACTTTCAGTCTCCAGAACCGTGAGAAATAAATTTTGGTTGTTTATAAGTCACAGAGTGTGCTACCTTGTTAAAGGATCCCCAACTGAGCAAGACACCTGATCATGAAAAACACAGTTCCAAGAGAGGGTAGCTTATTTTCCTGGAGATTTTAAAAGTGTTTGGAGGAAATGTGAGACCTTGTTAGACAAAAATAGAAGATGGAATGAAAACATATCCTGCAATTAAAAGCTCTGTTACCCTCCCCTGCTCCTGAGGAGCCAGACTTCCTGTGAAGCCCTGGGGCTGCATAGAGAAGGCCTATAGTGCCCAGGCCTGAACTTCGAGGCTGAGCAGCCCAGGCAACAGGGCCTATAAGTTCTATCTGGTAACGGCACGCCAGAGACAAAAATCAAGTCTTCCTTTCAAATATTAACTACAGTTTGCTTCAAACTCAAAATATCAGCAAGAATCATGAGAAATGTTCCAGTGTTTAAAGTCAAATTCTTGCTTTCATATTAAATACATTTGAAATCAAATGAGAAAAAAAGAAATGAATGAAAACTTACTCAGATGATAAAATTATGTAGAAAAACAAGGAAATGATGACCAGAGAAGTCAGGAGTGGGTGAAGTCCTGCAAGGGGACAGGGATGATCAGGCCGGTGGACCTGCTCACCTGGTGTATGGTGAAGTTTTCCGGGAACTCCCTATTAAGCTTCTGAAAAACCAGGTGCCTACCACAGACTAACTCGGGGACGGCCCCAGGGCTCAACATGGAAATTAACAGCGACTGACAGCCTTCGTGGGTCTGGCAGCCTTCCCACAGCCCTGAATCATTCTGTGCTTGTCTGGCTCTCTCCTCACGCTGGCCAACCCCAGAGGAGGTCGGGTAAACAAGGGTAGCTGCTGTCACATCGACTCTAAAACCAGCATTCACAGTGGCAACACATCTGAGTGCCAGTGACAGATATGTAATAATCGCTGCTAGACAAGGGGCAGCCTCTGTCTCCGTCCTGCTGGAAGGCCTCGAAGGCCTCGGGCCACAGTCTGCTCCCTGAGAAAGGCAAGGTACTGAATGAGCGGAGGCTCTGGAATGAGGGCAAGGCTGTGCTGTTTCCCCAACACCAGGAGCTCCCGCCAACCTTAGCCTTATTTGTTAAAAAGATTCATATTTTAGTAGCCATAAGCTGTACTGAAAATGCCAGCTTGTTATTAAAAATCTTTTCTACTTTTAAGTATCTAAATTTTGAAACCACTGTAGATTCGTAGGAAGTTGTAAAGAGATGTACAGGGAGGCCCACACAGGCACCCTGAAGTTTGCACCTCGTCAACCGACAGCACGACTGCAAAACCAGGACAATGGCACTGGTGCAACCAGAGTTTAGACCCGAGTTACACCTGCACTCATTTGTGTGAGTGCCACTCACTGCCGCACACCTCCGCACACCGCACACCTCCAGGCACCATTGTCACCTGTTTTGTGTTATTCTAAGAGAACAGCAGATGTTGTCGATGCATAACAAAGAGGTTTACTTGGCTAATGACTCTGAGGAGTGGAAAGTCCAAATAGTAATGGTCCTGCTCAAGGATGAAGTGGGCATGTGTAGAGACAGATTCCCTGGTGAGAAGGAAGCTGGATCACTTTATAACAACTGATTTCCAGGGAACCGATCCAGTCCCATGAGGCATATGAGGCAGCACTGACACATTCATGAGAGCAGAGCCCCACGACCTCGCCACTTTCTACTAGCACCCCCTTTTAGATTCTACCACCTCAACCCCACGTTGGGGACCAGGTTTCCAGGTACAGCTTCCAGGAACCTTTGGGAACAAGCCACAGCAGTACAACTTTATCCCACGAACTGATACTTTAAGCACCACTATAAAGTGCTGAACTGTGCCATCACGAGGGCCCCTGTGCATGCCACCCCTCCCCTGGCACTCCAACACCTGGCACCCCCAATGTGCTCTTCTCTTGCCTCTGTAACTGCTGGCTCGTGGATGCTCCAGGAAAAACTGTGCCAGGCATCCCTTCAATACCGGCTTTTCCTTGCTCACCACAACTCTCTGTATTTCTATTTTAAAAGAGACAGGTTCCACAGGCTTTTAGATACAGAAGAGTTTAGTGGATCCAGAAGTCCTGAAAATAAGCACTGGTGTTAAAGGATGAGTCATTTGAAAAAAGCTGATCGGAGGTCACCTGACTCACCCCCAGCACTGACATTGACGAGCTGCCTGGCTGAGCTCTGAAGAGCCCTAGTGGAGGCCTGATTCACTACTGGGAGGCAACACTTTCCAAGACTGTCTTCCTGGGGCGGCTACCACCCTTGCGCAGTAGCCTGGGTAGACTCCCAGAACTCACAGACGCCACTTGCCTTTGTGAGCACAAAGATCAAGCTCCTCTCGCCCATGACCCAAACACTGGTATCTTGGTGTAAAAATCACATTCAGACCACACACCTTACACTTCAAAAGTGGGGAAGGCCTCACAATCTGGAAGACTGCAAAACCAGGACAATGGCACTGGTGCAACCTACCCAGCCTGGGTGGGCCCTGGAACACCAGCTGGGCTCTGCCACTTCACCATGGCTTTCCCGAAGGCACAGATGGCTGCACTTGCATAGTGCCACTGCTCGTCTCTGCAGGGCCCCAGGCTGCCTGCCCAGGCCTCGCACCTGTGACTCCTGCCACAGCAAGGGCCCCAACCCTGCTTACTTACTGAACCACACTCTGCCTCAGCCCATTTCGTAACTGGTTCTTGTTCATCGTAGGATTCCACTCCTGCTTGTCCAGATGTGTCGACACAAAATTATCCACTTTTTGCCTCAGGTTTTGGTAAGCTGGCTAAACCATGAGAAAGAGACAGTGTTAGATGTTACATGCGAGCTCTGGAACTCAGCCATTTACAACACTGCTTTTTCATAAAAATGTGTATTTTCAAGTCTAAATACCCTCCATTTGACTATGGCGATGGCCACGTCACAGGACAGTTGAAAATTAATGGCTGTCACGAGTGTTCACCTCATGGTGGGTGGGGCACAATGCCAGGTGCTGTGCTTACATGATCCCATTTACTTTTTCAAAAAAATGCAGCAGAGGGCCCATGAGCAGACTGCTGCCCCACCTGAGATGAGGCTTTTAGGCTTAGCAACAGTACACCTGTCAATGGCTAGAATGTGTCGAAGTCAAGGCTGGAACCAGGCGCTTCCAAATCCAGGGTGCTGGGGGTCCAGGCAAGGCCCCTCCACCAACAGCTGTCGGATTCAAGCATCGCCCCTCCCCTCAACCCGTCATTTCATCTGTACAACTGCTCCTGCCCCACCACCAAGAGCGTGTTCCAGCACCAAACTGGAAAGTCCCCTGCATAAAAGCAAAAGGCCACGGCCACCTCAGCTGACCAAAGTCGAAGCCTGTGGAAGCCTGTGGGGAGGCCACGTGCGGGCCATCAAAGAGCTGGAGGCACACCTACTGGTCACATGTTCCAGACACAGCCATGGTCAGGAGAACAAAACTACCCAACTGCACACTGAGCACAAGGAATGTGCATTCTGAGCCTGAGAGCTTGTGGGGCTGTCAGCTGCTGTCTCCAGAGCAGGCTGGTGGCGTGGACGGCTGCCGGACCCCACTCCTCACACCCTCACCGGCAGGCAGGGAATACTTCCTCGCCCCAGCGATGCTCACCTTGGCAATATGGAGCTCTGGCCAGGGGAGTGTTGGCACGAGGCCTTAACTATGATTTTGCTGTCTGACCTGGCTCTGCTCTGATGGCCCATTTGAAGGCACATAGCCTGCCCTAGAGCCAGGGGCCTCAAGAGCGCACACATGCAGCAGCCCAACCCCAACCTATAGCCTGGACCCAAGCCCAGACAACCCACAGCCATGCCACCCAGCTGACGTCTAACTGGATCAGGCGAACTCTGCTTGACCCTCAGCCCTAACAGCTGAGAACAAACACTTGGTAGAATCCAGACACTGTTTGTTATGCAGCGTGACTGGCAATTTTGCTAACAGCCAAGGAAATGAGACTGCCCAAGGAACCACTGGGCTTCAACTCCATGAGTGGACTCTTCCAAAGGCCAAGAGGGCAGGGGACTGTGGGGAGGACCAAGCAGCTCCTTTTTCCAGGAGCCATCTTCTCTTCACAAGGGGATCAGGGGCCAAGTGTCCTGGCCACACTAAGACAACACAGGCACCCTCTGCCATCCTCAGAACCGCAGTCCTCTCCCCCCAGAGAAGCAGCTGTGTGTCATCAAGGGATCCTAATAACCAAAGGGATGATCTTACTCTGCAGGGAGAGTCAGACGGACAAAATAGGGAGAAAGACATGGTGCCAGGGAAGAACCTCCTCCTGGCAGTTCATTTAATCCTCCTTGGATCCCTTGAGACAACAGATAGCCCCTGCTGGAAGGAGTCACAATTAGATTTGTCAACTTGTAACCATGAATCCCTGTGTTATACCCTCTACCACTCAAAATAACTTGCCTGATTTGAGATAAAAGCTGTTCACTGAAAAGACAGTACAAGGACCAAGGACCATCGTCCTTAACCTTAACAAACCCTGATAATACAGACTGATCCCTTCAGTTCAAGAATTCAAAACACCTGCCAACATTCTACGTACTACCTCTCTCTCTAGAGAGAGGATACCACCTGTCTGCCCGTCTATTTAATCATATTTTGGAAGCTCTAAAAAGCATACTATAGACATCATTTGTTCACTTTCCTCTAAATATGGCAGCAGTCTGGTGGCCTAAGAATCTGCCTTCCTAACAAGTTCCCAGGTGAAGTTGCTGTTGCTAATCCAAGAATCACACTTTGCAAATCATGGGACTAAAGCACCAAATCTCAGATCAAATCCGCCCGAAAAAACGTTATGATCAAGAATGAAAACAACCTGGTAACTCCCACAACTGCAGCTAAGGAGATAAAAGTGGAGAAGGCTCCAATGGCCTTCCCAACACCCTTCTCAATTCTTTGTTGTTTATTTAAAATCCCAGGTTTTGTTGTTGTTGTTGTTTTGGTACTAGACAGTGAACCCAGGGGCATTTTACCACTGAGCTACATCCCCAGACTTTATTTTTTGAGACAGGGTCTTATCAAGTTACTTAGGACTTCACTGTATTTGCTGAAGCTGGCCTTGAACTTACAATCCTCCTGCCTCAGCCTCCTGATTGCCTGGGATTACAAATGTGTACACCACCTCAACATGTGTCTTTTTTTTTTTTTTTGTAGATGGACAGAATGCCTTTATTTTATTTGTGTATTTTTTTAAAGTGGTGCTGAGGATTGAACCCAGTGCCTCACATATGCTAGGCAAGCCCTCTACCACTGAGGCCCTACATGCGCGCGTGTACTTTTAAGATATGAACAGAGAACTTGTGATAGGATGTTGAGAACACAGTCTTGGGAAAGGCGGAAAGCTCTATAAATGTTTTTCTAATAAAGAAAATTATATACTTTGTTTCAAAGACAGCACTTGCACTTGGGTTCTTTATCCTGCAAGAGTGTAACAGTACACACCTTTGCCATACATAAACTAGCTGGTTCATGTGTGTTTTCTATGCTGGCAGAAAGGTAGGTGCTGGGGTAGTAACCAATTCTCGTTTCACATAACTCAGCACATTACAAGCATAAATGCTCAGTGTCTAGACTAGATCTTCCCTTACCTGTGGGGCCCGAGTTTAACCTCACAATCTTGCTATGAGGTAGGCAAGAGATTTCTAAGACAAACTCAAAAAATCACTACTCTGAGCAGCCCAGTCGGTAACAGCCTTCTAGCCCTACCTGCTTAATCTTGCTAGAATAATTTTGAAGAGAAAATAATCATCCCAGCAACCATTACCTGTCTGACACTTTAACACACGTTACTTCGTTAAATCCAAACAACCTGGCACCTAATTAAGTATCACTTCCTTTTACTGGGCTTTTGGTGATTGGCAGATGACCTTACCAGCTAAAAGAGGCACCAAACCCCTTTTGACCGGTGACGGTCTACAAAGCTCGGGTGCTGCTGCTACGATGTATCTAATCTAACAGCTCCCAAGTCCGCACGACGCTGAGCGGAGGAACAGCAGGTACCGGCACGCGGGTGGCCGTGCGCTGCGGCCGCGGCGTTCGACCTCCACCCCGGCGGCCGGCGAGCCGAGCGCGGCTAAGGGCGCAGGGGCAGCCCCGCAAGGCCCGGCGTGGGCTCAGGCGGGTCGCACGCGCGCTCCCACCTTGGTGTCCACGTCCGCCAGGCAGTCCCGGCGGAAGCTGTCAAACAGGCCGCGGCTCTTGAGCTGCTCCACGATGAGCGCGATAAGCTGCGGGTCTCCCGGCGGCAGCGAGGCGGGGTTGCTGGGGCCGCCGCTCCCGCCCGCCCCGGCCGCCGCCGCCGCCCCTGCCGAGGCCGGGCCCGCGCCCTAAAATCTTTCTGA